TCTGCCTCAACTACCCTTACAGACACTAAGTTCCATACTCCCACCACCCTCTCACACCACACTAGTCTCCTCTGCTCCAAGGGAAACAATGCCAGTCTATCTAATTTCTCTTCATAACAAACTCTCCAGCCCAGGAAACATCCTGGTAAATTCCTCTGCACCCTTTCCAGTGCTTTAACATTTCTCTTATGTGGATGCTCAAACTGCACAAAATACCCTAGCTATGGCCTAACCAACGTTTTATACAGTTCTAGCATAATCACCCTGCTCTTAAATTCTATGCCTTGATTATTGAAGGCAAGTACCTCATATGCCTTCTTAACCACTTTATCAATCTGTCCCCCTACCTCAAGGGACTGGTGGAAATGCACACCAAGGTCCCTCTGATCCTCCGTATTATCATGTATTCGCTTGCTTTGTTTGTCCAGCACAAATTCATGACCTCACACTTATCCAGCTCTATACTCAAATTGCAGTGAATAACCCAAACTAAGTCCTAGTAGGTATGTGCAGTGAGGAACCTTTTCAAATTGGATCCATTTGGCAACTCAGTGTTTAGAAAAGTTAGCAAAAATAGTACACAGCATTAACCATTAAAAGCAATTGTTGTAATCCAACAAAATAAATTATTAAAAAATTATTAAATGTTAAAATGAGCTCTGCTGAACTAGGAACAGGATAGATAAAACAGGAAGAATAGGTCATTTAGCCTCTCAAACAAGTTCTGCCACTGAATTAGATACTGAAGTGATTTAAGATTTTGTGTAAGTATTCGTGTCTGAGTCAAAACTAACTAACCGTACACTTCGACCTGTCTTATATAAATCATTATGCCACGTAAATAAATAACCAGATTTCCAATCCAGTAAGTTCTTCACTTAAGCAGCAATGAGTTGAGAGGTGCTCGTTGAAGGGATGTTGATAAAAAGAGAAGAATATCTTAACTTGACAGACAGATTGTTATGAGACAACAAGGTGTAGAGCTGGATGAACACAGCAGGCCAAGCAGCATCAGAGGAGCAGGAAGGCTGACGTTTCGGGTCTAGACCCTGGTCAAGGAGACTTAATAAGCTAAAGTTTAAAACAGAGTGGCCCCCACCCTCATTTGTCAATGACTTTTAAAAAAACATAATAAAACAAAAACAAACATACATGAACCTCATCACAGTGCACACAACTCATCTGCAGCATTTATAAGCTGCTCCAATAACTTTCCAATGTTTATAAACACCTCAGTAACTGAATACCTTTAATGCTTTGTATGATTAAAGGCCAAAGTAGTATTATCATCATCCATGTGTCAGCATTTAAGTGCGCTGCTGTCATCAGGAACAATTCCAAAATAAAATTAAGCTAACACGACAGCATGGATATCAACTGAACTGGAAGAAACCTTCACCAGATGGTTGGTTTTCTGAAGTTCTGCAAACATTCTAACTTATGCCTTTGCTCAGAAACGCAAGATGACATTAATGAATCACAAATGGATGCTAATTTTCTGCACTAATAGATAGAACTTTGACAGACCCATCTGTCCTATTTGTGGCCAGTATAAATTTGAGGAATTTTCAACTTCCAGCATAAGTAGTTCAGAAAATCTATTCTGACTGAGAATACATTTGCATTTTAGTTTGGCAAAAGACACGAGTATAAAGGTAGTTGTTCCAAATCCATGCAAACTATATAACTTAGGAGTCCACAACTGCACTTCAAGACATGTGTGCATCTACGATTTTTACTTCTGTAAAGTACTTTAACGAATATAATTCATAATTTTCATTTGGAGTTACACAGTCTTCTTAGCAATGCTGACTATCACTGATTACCAATAGCGTACAGGATTATGGTTATGCTGATGGAGTGGCTAAAGGACACTGAAGTGTTCAGTCAGCCATGATCGCATTGAATGGCAGGGCAGGTTCAATGGGCTGAATGGCATACTCCTGATCTCAAGCTCCACCTGGAGCATCAGTACAGAGCGGTTTTTTTTTTGTACTTTCAATGGATATGGGGATCGCGGGCAAGACCTTTTGATGTCCAGCCATAATTGCCCCTGAACCGATTACCATTCTGAGATATTTGAGAGAACAGTTTAAACCACATTGCTGTGGATCTGGAGTGACATGTTGGTCATATCTTCTCTTAAGAGTCATTATTGAACCACCTCTAGTGAAGCTGTCCCACTGTGATGCAATATGTATTAAGAAACTTTAACAAATCAGTAAGGCCACCAAAATAGCAACTCCTTTCCTGGGATCTCTGACCAAGAGAAGCAAAAATTTGCAATGTCATGTTGTCTCCAACTATTCTCAAACACCATTATGACTTACAATCATCATTATTTCATGATCAACACTGAAAACACCAGAGAAACTCAGCAAGTCTGGCAGCATCTGTGGACAGGGAAATGGAGTTAACATTTTAAGTCCTGTATGACAGTTCTTCAGAACTGAAGGGAGTTAGGTAGTTTGTATACTCTTCACAGAAGCAGAGAGATTGAATAAGGGGTGAGTGGTAAAGAGTCAGTAACAGAAGAAATAAGCTCAGTGAGGTGGGAACAGGCTGAAACAATGGGTCTGCCACGGCAGTCCTGTTCGTGAATTTTGAAAAAGGTAGAAACAGATTGAGGGGCTGTGTGGTGGAAAGTTCTGAAGGGGAGATTTCCAGAGGATTTGCGATCTTTGACAGTCCCAATATCATGCTCGCCGAGTAAGACAACAAACTCACCCACAACCTGAGCTACAGGTCTTTGCCAAAACTGAGTCCCAATAACAGCTTGAGATCAGTGATGGGTTTATGATCCGGGGAAAGACCGGATCCATCTGGTCACTAGTCATAGAATCCCTGCAGTGCAGAAATAGGCCCTTCAGCCCAACAAGTCCACACCGACACACAGAGCATCTCACCCGGACCCATCCCCCTCATCTACACATCCCTGAACACAATGGGCAATTTAGCATAGCCAATCCACCTAGGCTGCACATCTTTGGATTGTGGGAGGAAACTGGAGCACCCGGAGGAAACCCACGCAGACACGGGGAGAATGTGCAAACTCCACACAGACAGTCGCCCGAGGGTGGAATCGAACCCAGGTCCCTGGCGCTGTGAGGCAGTAGTGTTAACCACTGAGCCACCGTGCCGCCCGTTATTGTCCTTTAGGGAAGGCAACTACCATTCTTACCTGATCTGGCCTACATGTGACTCCAGACCCACCCTCTGGGCAATTAAGGATGGGCAATAAATGCTGGCCTAGTCAGTGGCAGTCTCATCCCATGAATGAATTAAATAAAAGTTCACAAAAACAAAGTTGCTGGAAAAGCTCAGCAGATCAGACAGCATCTGTGAATGAAGAAACAAAGTTAACGTTTCAGGTCTGGTGACTCTTCCTTAGAATAAAAAAGTTAAGATCAGGAAATTAATGTTCTTACAACAGCAAGAAGTATGCAAAGAGGTTGTTAGTCCATGGAAAGTTTGCTAAGGAAGGTACAGCAATCCCTTGATTAGCATATCAAATGCAATCCCAAAAAGAGTTTGCACAATGAATATCATTTTTCCAGAAGAAAACATGTACAAAGGGTTACGTCCCTGACCTGAAAAGTTTATGAGTAGCCCACCAGCTGTCATTAACCTAGCTGATGCAAAAATTCTCTTTCTACTTACTAATGTACTATTCTTTCTATTCATCACTCCTCCTGCTCTCACCCTCTCACTCCCTCCTACAAACCTACCTTTGCGAGCTCCCTTTTTCTCTGACACCATTTCCTTTCCTACTTACTGCTCCCCTCTCCTTGCCACTGCTTCTCCCTCCCATATGCTTCTTGATCCCAGTTCTCTCACTCTGTCCCCCACCTCCAACTCAGTGAGCAGGAAGCAGACAGGGTAGTAAACAAAGCAAGGGTCAATAAACATAGCCCACAGCAAATTCAAGACTTGGAAAGCAAAATGCAGTGAGATTGGAGATAACAAGGTGTAGAGCTGGATGAACACAGCAAGCCAAGCAGCATCAGAGGAACAGGAAAGCTGACGTTTCGGGTCCAGACCCTTCTTCAGGAAAATTTTCTTGCTCCTCTGATGCTGCTTGGCCTGCTGTGTTCACCCAGCTCTACACCTTGTTATCTCAGATTCTTCAGCATCGACAGTTCCTATCTCTGCAGTGAGATTGGCTTTGGTTCATTCTGCAGAAGACTTGGTGCAAACACAACAAAGTAAATTATATTTTTCTACTCGCCAGGTACTGAGCTGAACCAAGTTCCAATTATTATTCACAACTACGCTCACTACGCATGACAACTTCTTTCCACCGGCTCTTCTTTAAAAATTGACATTCTCATACTCAACCCATTCTCAGACACATCACTTACCACCTCTATAACCTTCTTCAGCCCGAAAAACACTTCAAGAACATCTTGTTCATTCAAATCTGGACCTCTGGAAAACCCCCACTCATTTTGTCCCATCATTGGTAGCTGCCAAACACTTGAAGCTTTAGAACTTCTTCCGTAAACATCTCTTCCTCTCCGCCTTGCTCTTCTTTAAAATCAAACACATTAACTGAACTCTTAAGAACCATTCTAAAATTTTCTACCCTTTAATTTCAATTTTAATCAGATTAAATCTGTAAAATATTTTTGGGGCGTTTAATGTTAAAGGCACTATATAAATGCATAATTAGATCATTCTTGCTGAATGCTGCTACATTCTTCAAAGGTAATCACAAAGATAAAGATTCATGAGTTGTTAGTACAATGAAGAAACAGGGCAGCCTCTGGTGAAATACAATTAATCACAGTGCTCCAAGCAGGTTGTACTAAGCTCATCATTCAACTAAACTAATTTAATGAAAAATAATAGGCATTAAACCATCTGTCATGCTCAATACAGAATTAAAATAACATTTTTAAATCTCTATGCAATGATGAATGAGCTCATTACAAAATTTCAAGTTATTGAGAACTAGTTACCAGAGACAACCATAAAAGCTGCTTAAAAAATATACATACCTTTGTGTAGAACCATTGTAGCAGTAGTTTGGAAGGAAATCATAATTCAGTTCCCAGAAAACATGGAGAGTTATTCTTCCATATGGTGCAGATACATTGTGATTGGCTTCTCTGAACATGGCATCAAAACTGTCCAGAGTTAAGTATTTACTGAGCAGCTTGTGACTCATACGGTTGACTTCTATCAGACCTTCAAGTTCCTAAAGAACCAAAATCACAGAGATCATACTCAATATTAGAAATCTGCAACTTAAAAACTTGGACAATCAGCCTTTCCAATGATTGACTCTTCTAAAACAGGAGGCCACTTGACACTATACGCAAGTGCTACCTCTTTGAAAGCACTGTCTAATTTAGTCCCACACCCCTGCAATTCTCTCTATAACTCTGCAACTAAACCTAATAATTCCAGAGATTTTTGTTTGATTTGTTACAATACTGCAAAAAATTACCTTACAATGATAATTATATCAGACTGGAGAGAAGCATACAGGAGGTTGTGTAGGACGATGGTGAGGCCTCTTCTCGAGTACTGTGTGCATTTGTGCTTGCCCTGTTATAGGAAGGATATATTAAGCTGGAGAGGGTTCAGAAAGATTTACCAGAATATTGCCAGGATTGGTGCTTTTGAGCTCTAGGGAGAGGCTGAATAGGCTGAGGCTATTTTCCCTGGAGCGTTGGAATCTGAGGGGCGACCTTTATAGAGGTTTATGAAGTCATGAGGGGTATTGATAGGGTAAATAGCCCAGGTGGAGGAGTCCATAGATAGACAGCATAGGTTTAGGGTGAGAGAGGAAAAATTTAAAAGGGACCTAAGGGGCAACCTTTTAATGCAGTGTGGTGTGTGTATAGAATGACCTGCCAGAAGAAGTGTCAGAGGCTGGTACAATTACAACATTTAAAAGGCATTTGTATGGCTACATGAATAGGAAGGGTCTAGAGGGATATGGGCCAAATGCTAGCAAATGGAACTAGATTAATTTAGGATATCTGGTCAGCATGAACGAGTTGGACCGAAGGGTCCGTTTTCGTGCTGTACAACTCTATGACTCTACAACAGCAGACTCAAGGGAACACTACCACTTACAGGTTTCCCTCCATTTCTTGGACCATCTTGGCTTGGAATCATGTCGTCATCCCTTCACTCTCTGGATAAAAATCCTGACACACACTCTCCAACAGAAACCAGATGAACTGCAGAGGTTTGAGCTTGCAGCTCACTACCACCTGCTTGAGGGTAATCAATGATTGACAACAAATTCTGGTCTTTTCAGTGGCACACTCATTCCTTGAAAGAATTTTTTTTTTTTTTTTTTTTACAAAACTGCAGGTGGGCAAGAATTTTGCCACGGGGTTGTTCATCCCAGAGACGCCCACCACTGCCAGTTGAGTGTCTGACTGGACTGGGAGGCAATGCGGGGTTCTCATCAGGAATTAAATAGGTACAAAAATATATTGTATATTTTATGAATACATATTTTAAAAACATCTGAAAGATCAGCCAATTTTATGTGGCTATTCAAGTTGGAGGGGAATAGGGTAATTCCTGACTCGTGACTCCAAAACACTTAAAATGGTTTAATTAACTATTATTCTACAATTCATCATCCCATTCAGATCATGTATATGGACTTCTGCACCGTTCCTATGCAATTCTAATGAAGTTTAATGTGAGCTTGGTGAACAGCAGTAAGTTGTTTTTCTGCTCTCGTAATCCAAGCCTCAGACGTTAACCAGAATCCCCATTTTTGTTTCTGGCATAAAATATCCAATGTTGAAGGCTTCCCAGGATGAGAGGGGTTTTGGGTTGGTGCTTGGGATAGAAACCCAATATCAGTACATGGTAAACAGAGGTCTACATATCTTTTGTTTTCATAATATTCCCTACCTAGGTTAAGAGAGGAACAATGCATTCTATAACGGAAACCTATTTTGTTTTACAAGATAATCTAGCATAAGAAAATGTATTTAATGCAGACAACAATAGATGTGCATTTCATGAAGGCAGAGTCTAATATGGATATTTTAGGGTCATAAAGGTAGACTAAGGTAGGGGCAGCACGGTGGCTCAGTGGTTAGCACTGCTGCCTCACAGCGCCAGGAAGCCGGGTTTGATTCCATCCTTGCGTGACTGTCTGTGTGGAGTTTGCACATTCTCCATGTGTCTGCGTGGGTTTCCTCCAGGTACTCCGGTTCCTCCCACAGTCCAAAGACGTGCAGGTTAGGTGGATTGGCCATGCTAAATTGCCTGTAGTGCCCAGGGATGCGTAGCTTAGGTGGGTTATAGGGGGATGGGTCTGGGTGGGTTTTTCAAAGGGTCGGTGTGGACTTGTTGGGCCGAAGGGCCTGTTTCTACACTGTCGGGATTCTATGATTCTTAAACTGTTATTTTAAATTTTCCATAAATCTGCATACATTCCTAGTGAACTTGAAGCTGTTAGCACAAGATGGCCCGAGAATACAATCCATGACAACACAATCTAAACTACCAATGTGGTACATGAATTGGACTGCCAGTGTGAACCCATCCTAACCATCCCATTCCTTCAAAATTCAAAACAGTATCCAATATTAGATGCAATTCTGCAATTGGACAGTATTTGCTAAAGAACTACACAGTCTGAAATTGTAAATTTTTTTCTGTCTGTTGGTGACAGAGCTTGGCTCATATATGCACGCTAGAAGTCATAGTTATTTTTATATTTAAGAAATTTATCTTTTCCAACTGAACAAAGAATTGGGAGATAGCTTTTGTCTTGTACTTTCCCATGACAATGCCTTGAAACTGTTGATTTGTCTGGTTTGAATTTAAATAAGAACTTGGCAGTTAAGTACCCCCTAGTGTACATTCATGGTCAAGATTCTACCAATCAATCCATTTGCACCCTTTTCAACACTCTTCTCATGCAGTATAAATTGTTGGTCCTTTTGGGATTGTGATTCTGTCCAGATGAGCACAAGACAAACAAGTTGCTTATTTCAGTTCAAAAAGTCTGTCCTACGAAGCGACTATTCTATGGGCGTCATTTGTAGAAGTTCACATTGGTTACGATATTTACAATGAGAGCTAAATGTTACTATTAAGTAGCATGTAATTCAGGAAAGCTAAATTATTCAATAGGCAACACAAGCAAAATGATAAAGGACAACAGAACGAGCTGATAAGTCTACCTGTACAAAAGGTCTCAACACAAATACTGAGGTCCAATTCATTAAGATACTGTGCACGTACCACAATAGAGGTGACGTCTTCACTCTCAAATCGTGTGATTGCCAATTCTAATGATTTGTACATTGCTGCTGAAATTCTTTGAGTGATCAGCCGATTCAGGTCTATTGACCTACCAAGAAGCTATAACATAAGAAGTTTAAAATATTACATAAAATATATAGCACAGAAATAGGCCATTCAAACCAGTTGACATCAATATTTATACTTCATTGGAGCTTCCTCCCATATTTTCTCATCCAATTTACAAACATAGCCAACTCATTCTCTTCTCCCTCAAATGCTTGTCTAATTTTCTCTCAAACGCATCTGTACTATTCACTTCACCCAAACTTTATGGTAAAGGTTCCTCAATGTTTAGCATTCATTGGGTAAAAATGTTGCTTTTTGAAATCCCTACTGGATTTCTTGGTATCTGTCTTACACTTTAAAGCAATATACATTCTGAAAACTGGCCTTTCTTTCTGGTGTCTCAATAACCATGAAAATCAACTCTCACCTGTACATGTCTTTGTTTCAATAAAGTCTCATATCTATTTGATGGAGGTGTTGGTATGTTAGCTCCCTGATTCTTACACTCTGCTCGTAGCCGTTTGTCTAGAAGAAGGCTAAAAGAATTGAATTGTTCACACTGTAAAAATATTCAATGCAGTAACTTCTTACTGTAGATTTAAAAATATTAGAACAGAAGCCTTCAACAATACCTTCCAGCCAGAATCTTGTAGTAAGCAAATATTTGATCAGCCAATTTATATACAAATTGGTCGAAACAAAGGTTTACCTGAAAAGAAGCACAGATGTTCCACAATTATCACGTGCATGCATTTGGCCAATGAACATCAAGATAAAGCCTCAACACTCATGCTCAATTACATGATTTTAAAAAAACTGAAAAAGATATTTACACTTTTAACTAAATAAGTTCATCAGTAATTACCTCTGCTTCAATCTCATCATAAAGGAACTGCTTCTTGAACTTAGTCAGTGCATAATGGGCACTGTCATTGTAAAGGTCCAAGGAATATAACACATACCTACAAAGAAAATGTTATGGTTAAGGAGGGACTATTCAACACATTTCTCTAAAACAAAACATTAGTAGTCTAGCTAATCAAAATATTTTAAACAGCCAAATAATTTTAAGTTACTCGGAGTTAGCAAGAACTGCAGATGCTGGAGTCAGAGACAACACAGTGTGGAGCTGATGGAACACAGAAGGTCAGAAGAAGGGTCCCGAACCAAAATGTCGACTTTCCTATTTCTCTGATGCTGCCTGACCTGCAGTGTTCCTCCAGCTCCACACTGTGTTGACCCAAATAATTTTAAGGTACATTAATTTCCCAATCTGTCTGCAGATATAACAAAATCTCTCACAAGGACGCACAAAATAAAGTCCAGATAAAAACAAGTTACTTGGGTGTAGCAACAATCCAAGAAGACCGGAAATAGATTCATAATTAGCTGCATCTCAAAGGGAATACTCTCAGGATTACTGCCAGTGTAATGAGCTGACGAGTTAGGAATAGGAGCAGACTGAGCAAATGCATGGCTGTAAGGATACTGTAGGAGGGAGGGATTTAGATTCTTGATACTTTGGGACTATATGTGGGGAAGATGGGATTTGTATGAGGTGGATAGGGGGAGGGTTCAAACTAGAGTGGCGGAGGGACAGAAACCCAAGGAGGTGGCAAGAGTGGAGAAACAGAAATGGAAACAAAAAATAGAAGCACAGAAAGCAAAAATGGAAAGCAGAGGAAGCGAGGCTGAGCAGCAATTAGGGCTGGAATTCAAAGTTTGTAAAATGAAAATATCAAAAAGACAAATCCAAGGAACTGTATCAGAATGTATGGAGCACATTTGCAATCAAGTAGACGAATTAATAGTATAGATAGTTGTAAAGGAGTACGATATAATTGCAATTAAAGACACTTGGCTGTGGGGTGATCAAGGCTAAGAACTGAACATTCAAGGGTATTCAATCATTTGGAAGGACAGGCAAAATATTAAAGAAGGTGGGGTGAAGACAAAATCAAGGCAATAGTGAGAAGGGTGTTGATCTAGAAAATCTTGATGTGGAATCAATCTGGGTGGAGCTAAGAAGCAACAAGGGAGTGGGAGGTGCCTGCAGGCCTTCAAATGCAGTGGTAACCGAGAGGCTGGCATTAAAAAAGAAATCAGGGGTGCACACAACAAGGATGCTACAGCAGTCATGGGTGATCTTAATCTACATCTAGACTGTAGAAACTACATTGGCAATGAAAATGTGGCTGATGAATTCCTGGAGTGCATATAATAGATTTTTGGACCATTACACTGAAGAACCAGGTTGGGAACAGGCTATCCTAGATTTGGTTTTGTGTAACAAGGAGTTAATTAATAATTTAGGTGTGAGAATTCCTTTAGAATTCTTTACTGGGATAGAAAGTGAAGTAGTTCAATCCTGGCAATGGCCTAGTGGTATTATTGCTGGACTGTTAATCCAGAGACCCAGATAATGTTCTGGGGACCTGCATTCGAATCCTGCCATGGCCGATGTTGGAATTTGACTTCAATAAAAAATATCTGGAATTAAGAACCTAACGATGACCATGAATCCACTGTCGATTGTCGGGAAAAACCCATCTGGTTCACTAATGTCCTTTAGGGAAGGAAACTGCTATCCTTACCTGGTCTGGCCTACATGTGACTCCAGACCCACAACAATGCGGCTGACTCTTAACTGCCTTTTGGGCAATTAGGGATGGGCAATAAATGCTGCCTGGCCAGCGACACCCTCATCCCATTAATGCATAAAGAAAAAAAAATCTGAAACTAGGTTCCTCAATCTAAACAAAGGAAACTACAAAGACATGAGGAGATTATTTGGCTGCAATAGACTGGGTAAATTAATTGCAAGTCATGAGAGTGGATAGGCATGCTTTGGTTTTATATATCCATGCTGTGTCTGAATTAATTCCAACCTCTCCAAATGCCTGTTGATTTTTTTTTCTAATCAAGAATAACAAAACCTTATCCACCGTTGTTATATGAGTAACTGAACTGCATTTGTTAGGCGCGTCATTACGTCCTTTCTTGAATAAGGGCATCACATTTGCCACGCTCTCTTGAAATAATAAGACAAACCCTTCACAATCTCCACATCCACAGCAACCTGAGATGCAAGCCAAGTGCAGAAGGTGACCAGTCTATCCAAAACATAGCCAGCCTTTCCAAAACCTTCCCTTTCAATTTTCACAGAGATAGTAGGAACTGCCATTTCTATAATTTCTGAAGAAGGGTCGAGACCTGAAACGTCAGCTTTCCTGCTCCTCTGATGCTGCTTGGCCTGCTGTGTTCATCTAGCTCTACACCTTGTTATCTCTTTCAATTTTCACATTATCTTTCGCCTCCACTATCGGTGCCTGTCCTGCTGTTTTGTCAGATTCCTCTTCTTTAGAAAGCACTGATTCAAAGAACTCATTAAGTGTTCTTGCCTTGCCCTGCTTCTAAGCACATGTCACCCAGTTAAGAATGTGCTTAAATAGTCAATTTAGAGACAATGAATATGCAACTTAAGATTTCAAGAGGAGACAAGCTGAGACAAGCAAAGCAGCACACAAATAGTAATCTGCAGTCTAAGTAACAGCATGAATGCACACTTGGAAGCTCATTACAGGACAAAATATGAAGCAGACTGGTTAACCTCCGGCTGCTATCGGGAGAGAGGTGCGTTTGAAGTGAGAATTGAAAACAATGGTGTAGTGATAGGAAACAGGTGGATCTTATTGACAAGATCCTTGATTGACCCCGGTTAACAACCCCAATCAGGAAGCCCTGTCTTCTCAGTTCAAGGGACTAACTCCAAGCTGGATGGTCACAGTCAATGTACTGTGGAGGATGAAGCTCTATCTGTTAGGAAAAAAATATCAACAGGGGATTTAGAATTTCCTTAGTTCAAGGGTCTGACTCTGAGCTGACTGGCCACAGCCAGAGTACTGTGCACAAGTAAATAAAGGGTGACTTGGTAACTGGATACTGGCTTCCATGCAGTTTTTTTCAAATGGCATCAGCCTTCCCAACATGCAATTGATGGAAATTTCAGCTTATCCTGTACTAAATGTTGGATAAGCACTATGACAGTATAGTCAAAGGAAGTGGTGGTGAGGTAGAGCAGGGTGTCAGCAGCATCTATGTGAAAACTAACACTGTATTTTCAAATACTGTCAATAAGGAGGATAGATAAGAAATGAGGGCTAAAGGAGAGATCTCTGCGGGCACCAGAAGTACAAATAGAAGAAGAAAGTGCAGCCATTACATGAAGAATAATGATGAGAGAAAGTTCTTTGTAACAAGCCCTTTGTACATCATTTTGATAAGAGGCATTGCAGTATTGTGGTGGGGTAGAAACCCTTTTGATCAGAGAATGTGGGTATCATGGGTTAGGCCAGCATTTTTTGCCCATGCCCAAATGATTTGGCATACTTTAAAGGATTTGAACATGTGAATTCTGGGAAAATTGGTTACTGATTTGGGAGCATGAAACTATAACTCATTAACTGAATCAAGACAACTCAATGCCTCTCTACTGTCACCAAACCTCACACTGGTCATTTCTCTGACTCCTCTGGCATCTTCTCATTGTATCACCTTGTATCTCTTTCAACTCTCTTGGAAATATGCTTGAAAATTCTTTTAGTACAGCAAAAATCTAATAAGACACCAAAGTAGACTCATTTAAACAGAAAATGCAGCACTGGTCCAACTTTTGGGACTCCCAAAAAATTTATACTTCGGATATCATTGAAAACTGACACTCACCTCTATTTCTGTTTTCTAGAGGTAGTGCAACAATCAAGTGCAAACCACATTATTATACTGAATGTAACTGGAACAAAATGTTTTCATCATGCAATGAAGTGACAAATAAATTAAAATCCTACTCCATCATGGAGGCTTCTTTGGTCTCCAAAATATGGTCAGTCAAAATCCATGGCATAGACATCTCAATCGGAAACTGGATTCTTCTGCCCATTGTCAGCTCAAGGAAGAATTCTCTGAACCAAAGCTGAGACAGATCGCAGCAATGCTGAAGAGTTTCTTAAGAAAAAATTCAAAGACAAATCCATCAAATAGAGCTAAACATGCAAAAATAGAAAACTTACATATTTATAATTAGAAATAGTCATAACACACTTATAGTGCACTCTTTTTAAAGTTATTTTCAAAAATGATGTATACAAGATTGTGAAATTTGATGAGCACAACTGTCTTTGTTTGTGACACCAAGTTAACACTAAAAGAAAATATACTAGGATTGTTGGTTTAAAAATCACTACAGAATGGCAGGCTCTTACTAGTGTGATGTGCTAGGTCCACAGTTGCTCACAATCTGTGCAGCCAATTGTAATATTTCCAAATCTGCTAATGACAGACTGATATCTAGGAGGGAGCACAAGTTCTGAGGAGGATGCAAGATGGCTTCAAAGGGGCTATGAAGTGAATGGGCTAGAACTTGCCAGACAGAATAGAATGTGAATAAGTGTGAAGCTATCCTCTCCGCTAAAATAAAACAGAAAGACAATATTTCTTAATTAGTGAAAGGATGGAAAAGGTCCCCAAAGGATCCAGGGTGTCCTTGCTCATGAATCAGAAAGATGTAACAAGCAATTAGGAAGGTAAATGGTTATGTCAGCCTTTAACACAAGGTGGTGGATTTGAGTAAACTGCAACTTGCTGCTATTGTACAGATCTGCTGGGACCTCATCTGGTATAGAGTCCTGGACTCACATCTAAGACAGGACATGCTTACCAAGAAGGGAGTGCAATGGAGATTCACTTGACTAATCTCTGGGATGGTCTTATGAAGAAAGATCAAATAAACTGTAGAGTTTAAGTATTCGCTAGACTTTCAAAATATGAGAGAGGACCTAATTGAAACATATAAAGTTCTCACAAGGCCAACAGGGGTGATATAGATAAGCTGTTTTCAATGACTGGTAAATCTCTTATCGGGGGACAAAATCATAATACAGAATGTGTCATTTAGGACAGAGACAAGGAGGAATTTCATCACTTGGAAAGTGGGAAATCTTTAGAATACGCTACCACAGTGGGCTGCGAGGTTCATTGAGCATGTTCAAGACAAGACAGAAATCAATGTATTTCTGTAAACTAATTACATCAAAGCATTTGGAGGCTCTGTGTGAAAATGGCATCAAGGTAGATGATCAGCTATAATCCAACTAACTGAGTGGCAGAACAGGCTAGATGGGCTGAATAGCCCAGTTGTGTCCTTATGAGGCACCAAACTAAGAACTCTATTTCAAACAAAGATTATTTTGTATATTATAAGTCTCTGTACTAAAATTCTACTAAGTGAAGCATGAGAACCTAATATGAATTAAAAACAGAATCTTTAAAGTCTAGTGATAAACTTTATATAAAGCTCATGCTGTTATATGCAAAATGTTTTTCATCAAATGGCCATTGTAAATTATGATCATGTTTATGCTGAAGGATAACATATTCAATTCCAAAATTTGTATGCATAAAAGCAAACATGTATCTATTTACAAAGAATCCCTACATTATGAAAGCAGGCCATTTGGGCCATCAAGTTCACTCCTACTCTCCAATGAGCATCCCACCCATAGCCCCTCATTTCCCATGGCTAATCCACCTAGCCTGCACATCCCTGGACTCTATGGGCAATTTAGCATGGCCAATCCACCTAACCTGCACATCTTTGGACTGTGTGAGGAAACAGGAACACCTGGAGGAAACCCACACAAGGAGGGCGGGAATGTGCAAATTCTACATAGTCGCCCAAGGGTGGAAACGAACCTGGCTATCTGGCACTTTGGGGCATTTCCCAGACTTACATTTGCAGCTTTCTAAACTCTGGGTATAGTTGATCAGAAGATGAATGCAGATACTCAGTAGTTAAAAGATATTATTCCATGTCCACATTATGTTACACCGAAATGCAAATGAAAGAGAAAGCACAGTCACTAATTCTACCAGGATTATCACCCACATGCAACAATCTGACCAAGGCCAGCATATTTGGTGCAGCCACGTGGCAGATGCAGTATAATGTGGATAAATGTGAGGTCATCTACTTTGGGAGCAAAAATAGGAAGGCAGTTTATGAAGGCTATTAAGTAAGTACACCCAGTTGTTGAAGATGAGCATGCAAGTGTGGCGGGTATTAAGGCAGCAAATGACATGCTGGACTTTGTGGTAAGAGGATTCAAGTAGGAAAAGGAATGTCTTGCTGCAATTATACCAGGCCTTGGTGAGACCACACTTGGAGCGTTGTGGGCAGTTTCGGTCTCCTTTTCTGAGGAAAGATTTGTTCTTATTCTCTCATGGAACCTGGGTATCGCTGGCTGCAATAGGGTTAGGTTTAGGGTTTATTATCCATCCCTAGCTGCCCCTAAGGTGGTGGTGAGCTACCTCTTGATCTGCTGCAGTTCATATGCTGTAGGTAGACCCACAATGCCATTAGGGAGGAAATACAAAGATTTTGACCAAGCAGTGAAAGAACGATGCTCTATTTCCAAGTCAGGATGGCGAGTGCTTTGGAAGTAACTTGCAGCTGTTGGTGTGCCCATGCGTCTGCTGCCCTTGTCCTTCTAGACGGAAGTGGTCGTGGGATTAGAAGGCATTGTCTAAGGATCCTGGTGAATTTCTGCAGTGCATCTTGTCGATAATACACAATTCTGCTACTGAGCATCGACAGTGGAGGGAGTGGGTGCTTGAGGATGTGGTGCCAATCAAGCTTCGTCATGGATGGTATCAAGCTTGAGTGTTACTGATGCTGCACTCATCCAGGCAAGTAGGGAGCATTCCATCACACTCCTGACCTGTGCTTTGTAGATGGTTGATAGACTTTGGGGAGTTAGGAGGTGAGTTACTTGCTGCAAGATTCCCAGTCTCTAGCCTGCTCTTGTAACCACTATATTTAAATGGCAAGTCCAGTTAAGTTTCTGGTTAATGGTAACCCCCCCCAGGATGTTGGAAGTGGGACATGCAGTGACAGTAATGCCATTGAACATTAAGAGGTTTGAATGTCTCTTATTGGAGATGTCATTGCCTGGCATTTGTGTGGCACAAATGTTGCTTGCCACTTGTCAGCCCAAGCCAGGATACTGTCCAGATCTTGCTGCATTTGAACATGGATTGCTGACGTATCGTGAATGGTGCTGAACATTGCGAAATTATAAGTGAAAATCCGTACTTCTGACTTTATGATAGAGGGGAAGTCATTGATGAAGCAGTTGAAGATGACTGGGTGTAGGACAACACCAAGGAGCTCCTGCAGAGATGTGCCGGAGCTGATATCACTGACCTCCAACAACCACAACCACTGTACAGGGAGTGCAGCGAAAGTTTAATAGAGTGATTCCCTGGATGTCAGTTGTCAAGTATGAAGTGAACTTGAATCGGTGAGGATTATATTTGCTGGGATTCAGAAGAATGAGGGGAGATCTCGTAGAAACCTATAAAATTCTAACAGTACTAGTCGGGTAGATTCAGTAAGGAGGTTCCTAATGATAGGGAGTCCAGAATTAGGGGTCACAGTCTAAGGCTACAGGGTAAACCAGTTAGGTTTAAAAAATTATTACAACAGCCTCACATTCACAGTTTTGGGAAAAACCAGAAAATTAATTATTGCCTGTTTGGATAATGTATTTTCCCTTTCCCATTTATTAAACAGCAATAGATCATGGCATCATAGATTCCTGACAGTATGGAAACAGGTCCTTCAGCCCAACAAGTCCACACTGACCCTCAGAGCATCCCACGCAGACCCATCCCCCATAACCTACCTCAACTACACATCTCTGAACACTACGGGCAATTTAGAATGGCCAATCCACCTAGCCTGCACATCTTTGGACTGGGGGAAGAAACTGGAGCACCCAGAGGAAACCTGTGCAAACACGGGGAGAATGTGCAAACTCCACACAAACAGTTGCCTGAGGGTGGAATTGAACCCAGGTTCCTGGCGCGGTGAGGCAGTAGCGCTAACTGCTGAGCCACCGTGTCACCCCAATTACATAACTCATCCTACAGCTGCCTCAGTTGTAATAATTTAAATATTCAAAAATAATTAAACTCTGAAAAAAACTGAAAGCTTACAACCAAGGAATAACGTTCACCCAATGAGCAGTGCCATAGGTCGAGTGTTTACAAGTTGTGGGTTTGGGAGGATGGAAATGTAAGATTGAAAATCAGCAGCATAAGACAGCATTGCAAGTCAACTATTTTGACAATGATAACCAGAACAGGGAGGGACAGAACATACAAGCACAAGAAAAAGGCAACAAATGGGACAAAAGGGAACAAAGGGTAATACGGTGAAATTAATGGCCATTTACTTGATTAAGTGTGGTGTTTGTAGTAAAATAAACAAATTAATGGCACAATTTAAGGTAATGGGTATGATTTTATAGCCATTATGGGGAAATGGTTACAAGGAAATCAAAGCTGAGCAATGAACATTTAGGGTTTTGAGTCCTTTTGAAAGGACAGGAAGGAAGTGAAGTTTGATGGGGCGGCTTTGTTAGAATGAGATGGAATTAGTACATTAGCAAGAAATAATCACGGATCAGATGATATAGAATCCATATGGGTGGAGTTAAGAAAATAACATCCAAGATAATCCCAAGATATACAAAGGCAAGAGTAGGGCCCATTAGGGACCATGGGAGAAATGTGTGTGGAGTTCCGGAGGACATTGGTAGCTTGTTAAACAAGTACTTCACATCTGTCCTCACTCAGGTGGAAGAGGATGTAGGCACAGATTTCGGGAAGATGGACCAAGAGGTTCTTGAGCAGATTGACATAGTGAGTGAGGTGGAATTGGAGGTTATGGCGGCCTTACAAATGGACAGGTTCCCAGCCCAAGATGAGTTGTATCCCAGACTGCAGTGGCAGACGAAGGGAGGAAATCACAGGGGCCCTAACACAAATTTTCATTCCCCTCTGGGTCCAAGGGAGTTGCCAGACGACTGGAGGACAGCTAAAGAAAGGTAGTAAACTTAAACCAATAATTTACAGATCAGTGAGTCTCACAGCTGTGGTATGGAAATGAATGGTGAAAATCATAAGGAGAGAATTAATCTCCATTTAGAGAGAGAAGATGGGTCTGTCCACAAGTCCTTGAAGGTTGCAGGAAAGATTAATTAGGGTAATTAAGAAGGCATATAGGACACATACATTTATGTGTCATGGCAAAGATAAACAACAGGGCGGTTATACTGAAACTGTGGTCAGAACTTGTGCCTAGGCCACAGCTGGAGCATTGTGGGCAGTTCTTGTCAGCGCACTATAGAAGGGTATGACTGCACTGGGGGGGCTGCAGAGAAAATTCACCAGAATAGAACAGTTTAGCTTTGAAGAGAGGCTGGATAAGCTCAGTTTTTTTTTAAGCAGCAGAGAAGGCAGAGGGAAAACCCAATAGAAGTGCTTAAGAGTATGATGGGCATGGACAGGATGGACAAAAAAAAAGCTGTTTCCCTTAACTGAAGGCTCTGTTCGAAGGGGAACACTTTTAAAGCAGAAAGCAGGAAGTTTAAAGGGTATTGAGCAACTCTTTGTTCACCGAAAGGATGGTGGTGGGTCTGGAATGCATTGCATAGGAGGGCAGTAGATAACCTCACAACCTTTAAAAAGTACTTGAATGAGCACTTTAAACGTCATAACATTCAAGGATACGGGTCTAGTACTGGAAAGAAAGACTAGCATAGATTTAGACAAGTTTTGGCAGCATAAACTCAATAGGCTGAAGGGCCTCTTCTACACTGCATCATTCTCGGAATAGAGGGAAGAGACACTGGTGAGAGTAGTCCAAATGCCCCCTAACAGTAGCTGTTCTGTATAATAGAGTATAAATCTGAAGATAACGAAATTATGTAAAAATGGCAATATATTAACTATAAGCGACTTCAATCTTTATATAGATAGGAAAATTAAAGGGGCAGAAGTGACGAAAGGGAGAATTCAGAATGAGTTCTGTCTGGACAGTTTCCCAAAACAGTATGTTGTTGAACCAATCAGGGATCAGACTATTCTAGATCTGGAAATGTATGATAAGGGAGGTTTAACAAATTATCGCACAGTAAAAGATACCCTTGGGAACAGTAACCACGACATTGTAGAATTTAGCATTCAGTTTGATAGGGAGCAACTTGGGTCAGAAACAACTGTACAAAACCTAAATAAGATTTAAAGGCCAATTAAAGATAAGCAAGAAAAATCAAGACAGAGAAAATAAACTGAGGCCAAACTAGCAACTAACATAAAGACAGACAGCAAGAGCTTCTTCAAATACATCTAAAAAGAAGAGAGAGGCAACAGTGAGTATTGGACTCACGCAGAACAAGACTGGGGAATTAATCATGGGGACCCAGGAAATGACAGAGGAATTGAATGAATACTCAGTATCAGAGTTGGTTGTGGAAGAAAGTAATAGCTTTCCCAACACAAAATAATAAAGGGACGTGATGGAGGGGAGGCGTGGAAGAGGAGGAGGAGGAGGAGGAGAAGAAGAAAATAAACACAGTAACAATCAGTAGAAGTCCCTTGTGCCTAATGGGTTGCATCATAGGCTTTTAATGGAAGTTGCTATAGTGACAGTGGATGCACTGGTAGTAATCTTCCAAGAATCCTTAGATTCTGGAAAAAACCTTGTAACATCTTTATTCAAAAAAGAGAGACACTAACCAAAAAAAAGGGTACTGTAGGCTAGTCAAAATGTCTGTTGTTATGAAAATGTTAAAGTCTTTTATAAAGAATGCAACTGCAGAACATTTAGAAATCCACAATAAAATCAAGCAGAGTCAGCATGATTTCATGAAGAGGAAATCATACCTCACAACCTTTAAAGAGGTAACAAGCAGGATAGATAAAGGGGAACCGGTAGATATAACATATTTGAATTTCCACAAGGTTTTCAATGTAGTTCCATACAGAAGACTACTAATTCAGATAAGAGTCCATGGTGTTAAGAGTAGTATGTTGTCATGGATGTGGATTTCACTATTAATAGAAGCCAGAGAGTTGGGATAAAGGGGGCATTTCAGAATTGCAACCTGTAACTAGTAGAATACAAAAACAAAGTTGCTGGAAAAGCTCAGCAGGTCTGGCAGCATCTGTGAAGGAGAAAACAGGTCCGGAGACCCTTCCTCAGAACTAGTAGAGTGCCACAGGTATCAGTGCTGGAAGCACAACTGTTTACAACATATATCACTAACTTGGACAGCACAAGTCAATATACTATCACCAATTTTGTGGATGAAACAAGGAATCTTCAGAGGGATACAAGCAGGTTAAGTGAATGGGCAAAAATTTGGCAGATGAAAATAACAGGTTATACACATTGGCAGGAAAAAAAGAGGAGATAAATATTATTGAAATGGGGAAAGACTACAGAAAGCTGCAGAACAGAGGGATTTCAGGATCCTAGTGCATGAATCACAAAAAGCTAGCATCCACGTTCATCAGATAGTAAGAAAGGTAAATGGAATGGTGGCCTTTATAACAAAGTGAATAGAGTATAAAAACAGGGAGGTTGTGTTAAAACTCTGAGGCACTGATTTGGCCACAGCTGGAGCACTGCAAACAGTTGTGTTCCCCTTAGATAAACAAAGATATACTACTATTGGAGGTAGTCCAGAGAAGGTTTGCTACATTAATCCCAGATATTGGGGTGGGTGGGGAGGGGGTGTCATTTCTTTTGAGGAGAAATTGATTAGATTGGGTTTGTATTTATTGAAGTTCAGGAGAATGACAGGTGACCTTACTGAAACATACAAAAATTCCTAGAGTACTTAACAGGGTAGATGTGAAGTAGTTGTTTCCCTTTGTGGGAGAGTTTCCGTTCATATGGCATAATCTCAGCGTAAGAAGTCACTCAATTCAGAACAGATGACAATTTTTTTTCTCAGAGAGAGTACAGTGAATCTGTGGAATTGTTTACTACAAAAGGCTAAGAGGCTGACTCGACAAATAGATTTGAGATAGATTTTTATTGAGTAAAAGAATCAAGAGATACAAGAAAAAGGCAGGAAAGTGGAGTTGAAGATTATCAGATTAGCCATGATCTCATTGAATAGCAGAGCAGATATGATGGGCTGAAATGGACAACTTCTTCTCCTGCATCTTATGGTCTTTGGTCAAGTCTACTGTCAAACAGATATCACAGTGAACAAACTAGCAACTGAATCCACTTCTCTCACCATTTTGCAAATGAATAATTTAGTTTCAATGCAGTAATTCTGCTTCAAACAGTTCAGTTATTTGAATTTGCAGCTATATCTTGGATAGGTTTTGTTTTAATTCATTGACTTGCTGTGGGCATCATTGGGTGCACCAGCATTTACTGTCCATCTCTAATTGCATCTGAGGAGATAGTGATGATCTGGCTTCTTACAATGATTTATGTGTACACCCACAATTCTGTTAGGTAAGGAACTCCAGATTTTTCACACAACAAGTGCAGAAGTATAACAAGTATTCCAACTCAGGTTGCGGCATCATTTGGGGAGGAACTTGCAGATGGTGGTGTATCTACTGTCTATGTCTAGGTTGAAAAGGTGAAGACTTTGGAAGGCTGTTGTCAAAGGAGCTTTGGTGAGTTGTTGCCATGCACACAATGTCAACGTGCATGCTGCTACCATGTTGTGTCAATGACACAGGAAGTGAATGTTGAAGTGGTAAGAATTCAAAGAAAAATTCAATTCTGTACAATAAAATGAGCTAAAGCTTTAGTGGGAGTGGGTAGAATTGATCAAAAGAAACAAATGGATTGTTGGCCAAAAAAAAACTGGTAACAAATAGAATAGGTTCTCTGTAAACAATTTTAAATCTGAAGTAAAGCAGTTTATCTTTCCTTCAGCAGATGCAGCAAGTAGTGATTTTGAATTGGATAAATCTGAAACTTTACATTTGTGAAACAGCCACCCTGTATTTCCTGCAAACCAGTGGAAATATTTGAAAAAAAGAGAGGTCGAGGAAAGCCTTCAAACCAGCAAGAACTAATCCAACAGGTCTTGCGAACAAATGACTACACAATTGTTTTCCCAGATTTCCCAGAAGGGCTCACATTATTCTGAATATGGTCTGATTAGATACAGCCTCAGTAGCACATCTCTGCTTTTGTATTCTGGTCCTTTTGAAATGAATGTTAATATAGCACTTCCCATCCTAACTGCCAAATGAACCTGCATGTTAACCTTAAGAGAATTCTGAACCACGGCTCCCAAGTCTGTGTGTTTCAGACTTCCAAAGCCTATCTGGTTCACTAATATCTTTTGGGGAAGGATTCAGCCATCCTTGCTGGTCTGGTCTACACATGACTCCAGACCCACAGCAATGAGGCTGACTCTTAACTACCTTCTGGACAATTGGGGATAGGCAATAAATGCTGGCCTGGCCAGTGATACCCACATCCTGCCAGCTAATAGAGAAAAAAATTTGGGATTTTGCGTATTTCCTTTAAACTCTTCAACTTTTTTGATGATTCTAGAAATAGCAGGTCTTGATTTCCAGTGAGGGAGTGGAGAAGTGAAGTCAGTCAGAAAGTCGAGTTGAGGTCGAAGATCAGTCATGATCCTTCTGAAAGGTTTAAGAGGTTGTACAGTCTACTCCAGCCCCTATATCAGAGGGATTTTATGCTGGAATATCAAAAATTTAAAAATGGGCTTTTATTTGTTAAAACTAAAATGTGAATATCCATTCAGTGAGTGTGCAATTAAAATATTTGCTTTACCTTCACATTCCTCCACAAACAGGTTTAAGAATAAATAAAAGCATCTCTAACTGTATACGGTCAAAATGCAAGTTTGCCCCATCACACTGTCTCTTGTGGAAGCGATATCTTACCACTGAAATTGAGTAAATGAGTGTAGAAGAATGAATGCCGGTGAAATTCTTCTATCGCCAAAATGGTGGGGCCCTCAAGACTACTTCTCAAGGTTTTCTTTGCGCCACTTTTGTCAGCAATGAGGGACTCTAGCATAGTTCTAACCATGTAGAGCTACACCAACAGGAAACGTAAAACAAAACAAAAAGAAAAAAGTAAAGGGCACATTAGTCATTATGAATTTAATGGGAGAAAGCCTAACTGTTCCACCACTGGGGATAATTCCTAGTAAGTCAGATTTATTTCTGCCACAGCAACCTATTTTGATATAAAACCAGAACTGGAAATAATTGATGTTTTAAATAAACACAACATCATATTCCCACACTGCCATTACAGAAAGAGTGTTTACCATTTAAAACAAGGACAGTAGCTAGGTTGGAACAATCCACTTGAAATTCAACTTAATTTTGTATTTCTCTATTACAGAATTTTGAATCTTTAAACGATGGAACAATTTGACTTTCTTTCAGCAAAGAAAGATAGGCTTTATTCTTACCACCAAAATTTAAAATGGTTGGATAGATGTAGGACCGCCTCAGAAAAGTGTTGATCGCAATGAGTGTTTTGTCCAGTCCCAGAGATTTTAGTTGCTTCGCTAGCTCTCCAGATAGCAATGATTCTGCCATGGTGCGCACCATATACAACTAAAGCCAGTTGGCAAGAGCGGACATTAAGAGTTAGGAAGAAAAGCAGAGAGTGAGAGCTTGGTTAAGTAGCAACAGAAAAGAATTTGGTTAATAAGTTAGGACTACCATTTTCCACAGTGTTACCATAGCAAGCAACTTAAGTTACATTTAAAAGGACAGTATTGCTTAAAATACAGCAGTCATGGTATGAATGGGATAGTCAGTTAAACTGACAACAGCAATTGGTTATTCTGGCACTTCTCCTCATCGAGGGACAGAAATTTGATAGGAGCTGTTAAAATACTTATGAAAGCATGCTAAGAGGAAAGAATGGAAAAAGGCCATCTTTACATTTTCAAGATGCCTGCTGCAGCGGTAAGCAAAATTTCTTAAAAATTCATAGGAAATACTTGTTTGTTGTTTAGTTTGTCTAGAAGCCACTCTCAAGCATAGAGCCTGATCAGGATGTGCCAGGTATAAGGCATGCTAACAAATTTGCATAACGCATGCGGTGTAATTCTGTAATTGTTGATTTGCAAAAGCAAACAAACTACACAGTATCTGGAAGGAAAGGGAGGAAATAATAACTACTCAAAAAATAACTCTTCAAATTACACTTGCGCCTCAAGTTTTTAAAAATAAGTGTAAATCAAGCTACTTGTAACTACTTCAGTTAAGAGTTTTAATATTAATAACGTGTTGCTTGCAGGAGCTCAAGCAAGGGCATTAACTGGATGCAAATTTATATCCTTAAAGTATGAGCAACAATGCTTAGCTTTGCATAACTTCAACTTAAAAACCAATTAGTAAAATATCACATTGCAAAATTATGAATGAAGTATTTTTGTAAGGAATATTTAAAAGAATCAAAAGTTAAGTTTAAACTATTCCTTCTTCACAAAATGACAAGGAAATAGAAGGAATCATTGTTATTCAACACACCATATTTTACCATAGTTCTTTTTCAGTGTGTGACATGTGCCTTAAACTGATGATTAAATGAATGGAAGTTTCAAAGCTTTTCTCAAAGCAATAATTTAAATTTATTTTTGAGGCTGACCAAGAAATGACCTTGCTTATAAAACAGATTAGAAAATGGGAATTTACAGGACTTAGAGACACAGTCTAAGATCTGCGAGATCCAAAGTTTTAAAAATACTGTGCAACACTGCATGTTTCAAAAGCCTCAATCCTTCCAAGGCAATCTTGAATTGAATGTGGACCTCAATTTCAATTTATAGCTTGGACGTCAAATTAAGTTATTTGAACCAGAGATTATTAGGCAGAAGTTTGCACTGAAGAAACACCTGGGTACTAGATGGTCCGACTGCCCGGGGAGTAACTTTGATCTCAAAGCCTCCTCTTGGGTCCTTCTCTCCTCGGAGCGCAGGATCATTTGTTGGTTCGTGTCCAACGTCCCAATCACAAATAGTCTTTCTAATTGCTTGCAAAACACTAGACAGATATAGGACAAAGAAATGTATCAGCATCAGTTCCACTAACATGTTTTTGTTTGCTTGCCTTATGCAATTGTACAATGGAGAGCAGGAATTATGAAAAAATTACAGCAACAGACAACACCAAACAATAGACAATATTAGCAAAATACTGTAAATGCTGGAAATCTGAAATGAAAACAGAAAATACCAGAAAAACACAACATGTCTGGCAACATCTGCAGAGACAGCATCCAATATGACTTCTTCACAAATGCTAAAGCTACATTGGTAAATGTTGGCTAACCAAAATCTGACGGTGGCTGGTACAGAAGGCAATGCTCTTGCAAAGTTAGTATCATTATTTAGAACGCAATAAAGTAAACTTCAACTTTTCAATATTGCTCATATTTTAACATTATATTGTTTAACAGTCTTTTGATAGCAGGGAACCTGAATATTGCTTAAAAATATAATTTTGCTGAAACTATTCATCTTGCATGAGGACACTGGCAAGAATACCAATGTAAGAGGGGAACAACATCACATACTATATGAGAACTGATTGGCAAATGGACTCTGATTGGTAGAGGCATTGACATGGAGAATGCAGCAATTAGATGCTATGACAGTTAACTGCCAAGCAAAATTTCAAAGATTCTGGAATGATTCCTGCAGATTAGAAGCCTGCAAATGTCAACCCACTATTTAAGAGAGGAACAAAGAAAAAACAACAGGAAACCAGAGATCTATCAGCCTTACATCGATAGTAGGGAAAATACTAGAAATTCTAAAAGGACATGATAAATGAACACTTGGATAAATATGGTCTTACTGGGCACAGTCAACATGCATTTGCAAAGTTTGACAAACTTGGGAGTTTTTAATCTTTTCAGGATTAAAGCAACCAAACTGATGGACATTGGATCTACTTGGACTTTCAGAATTATCTTGCTAAGGTTCCCCACAGAGCGTTCCTTAGCAAAACTAAGGCATATCATATAAAACATTATTTAGGAAAATGAGTCATTCTTACATTGGCAGACTGGCAAAGGTGAGGTACTTGGAGCCCTAGCTGTTCACAATGTATATCAGTAATTTGGAGGTGGGGATCAAATGCAATATCTCCAGATTCGCAGTTGATACAAAGATAAACAGAAGTGTAAACTATGAGGAAAATGTATGACATTTTCAGGGGGATATTAATAGGCTTAGTTGTTGGGCAAAAACATGGTAGATGGAATATAATGTAGAAAAATGTGAGGCTATCCAATTTGGCAGGAGAAACTGATATGCAGAGCATTTCTTAGAAGTTTGGAAAGCATCACAGTGCCAAAGGACTTGGATCTCCTTGTCAATAAGTGAGTGAAGGCTAACATGCAAGTGCAACAACCTATTAAGAAGGCAAATGGAATATTATCCTTTCTCGCGAGAGCATTTGATTACAAGAGTAGTGAAGTCTTGCTTCAATTGTTTCGATTGAATCAGGTCAAAAGCTCCTGGAATACTGTGCACAATTTGGTCTTATCTCAGGAAAAGATATTATGAATGCAATAAGGGCTCACCAGACTTGTTTGCAGGATAGCAGGTTTGCCCAAGGAGAGAGACTGGACAGAGAGGGCCTGCGTTCTCGAGAGTTTCCAAGAATGAGAAGTGATCTCATTGAAACCAACAAAAACTTTTAAAGGATATATGCAAGTAAGGTGCTTCCCAGATTGTATCCCCTACTTTTAGTCTCTCCAATCTTAATTTAGGACCAAGATAGGCTTTACTAAGGTGGTGGTGAATCTTCGGAATTCTCTACCCCAGAGGGCTGTGGAAGCACACAGCCTTTGAGTACATTTAAAGTAGAGGTTGATGAATTTTATTTAAGACTAGTATTAAACGTTACAGCAATATGTGATGAAAGACATTGGAAATGTTCACTCAGCCATGAGGGGGGAGGCAATGACCTAGTGGTATTATCGCTGGACTGTTAATCCAGAGACCCAGATAATGTTCTGGGGACCCAGTTTCAAATCCTGCCAGGGCAGATGGTGGAATTTGAATTCAATAAATATCTGGAATTAAGAATCTAATGATGACCATGAATCCATTGTCAATTGTCAGGAAAAACCCATCTGGTTCACTAATGTCCTTTAGGGAGGGAAACTGCCATCCTTACCTGGTCTGGCTTACATGTGATTTCAGACCCACAGCAATGTGATTGACTCTTAACTGCCCTCTGGGCAATTAGGGATGGGCGATAAATGCTGGCCTAGCCAGTGATGCCCTCATCCCGTTAATGAATAAAGAAAAACAAATTGTGAAGCAGGCTTCATGGGTTGAATAGCAGTGTTGCCACAATTTTTCCTACTGGCTGCACAGGTTTTCGAGGCACATACTTCCATAAATACAAGTCAATGCTGTGGTTCAGCATGCTGACACCGATCACCCTGCATGGAACGTCACAACAGATGTGCATATGCGCATCTTAGAAGATACACTGCTGAATGGTTAATTTCTGTTCCTTAATATACAGCTGAAGATTAGAAAGAAAGGGAACACAATTCTTTACTCAAGTATCTGCAAATTTTAAATTTATTCTTCAAAATGCATGCCACAAATACCAGTAATGGTTGGTTGGAGGATATGCTGGGCCAAGAGGATGCTGATTGTGCTGGAGTGCAATTCTGGTGCTGTTGATGGCTCACAGTGCCCCATGGATGCCCAGTTTTGAGTTGCTAGACCTGTTCAAAATCTGTCCCATTTAGCATGGCCTTCGTGCCACTCAACACGAATGCAGAAGCAGAGATGCCTTGCTGCAATTATACATGGCATTTGTAAGACTACACCTACAATATTGTATACAGTTTGGACTCCTTATCAGGGGCAGGATGTTTTGGCTATGGAGGGAGTGCAACAAATGCTTTATTCCTGGGTTGGTGGGACAAAGAAGGAAGCGTCAGATTGGTTAGGACTACATACACTCGAGTTAAGAATGAGGGAGTATCTCAAAGAAATCTATAAAATTCTAACAGGATTAGACAGGGTAGATGCAGAAAAATTGTTCTCAATGACTGAGAAATCCAGAGCCAGTCCAGAGAATAAGGGGTAGGCCTTTTAAGACAGAGAAAATGAGAAATTTCTTCAGTTAGAGTGTGTGGCGAGTCTATGGAATTCTCTGCCACAGGAAGTGTTTGATGCTAAAACGCAATGTTTTCAAGAAGGAGTCAGACACAATTGTTGGGGCTGGGCTAGAGGGATCAAGGGTATGGGGGACAAAGCAGGAACACGGCGAGTTGAATGATCAGACATGGTCATATTGAATGGTGGTGCAGGCTCAAAGGGCTGATTAGCCTCCTCCTGCTCCTATATTCTATGCTCCTGTGTCCTGAGCTAGTAATCCAGAGGCTACTACTCAGGAGACATTGGTTCAAATCTTTCCACAGGAACTGGTGGTATTTAAACTCAATTCATGTGCAGCCAGACCATGAAAAGTATAATTGATTGCTGTATAAACCTTGTTAGGAAAGATGTCTGCCATCCTTACCTAGCCTAGCCTATGCTGTGGGCTTGGAGTCACACAATGTGATTGATTCTGACTTGCCTTTTTGAAATGGTTCAGGAAGCCAAAAAGTTCAGAATAATTAGCAAATGCCCTACCAGAAACATTCATATTCCATCAAATAATAAAGAAAAAATGCAGGTGGCTACTTATGTTGTAATCAACAAAATTATATTTTCTTCTCCTGAGAAGTGATAAGTTGAGAATTGCCACATTTTATGTACAATTTAGACAAACCTCTGAATCACATTCTTCTTCTTTTTGATAGCCTGACGCAAAGGTTCACGAAGTGTTTTCTGAGCAAAATTTTGGAGTGCAGCATAAATGGTATGTCGAATTGCATGATTGAACACACTCTCCATTCTGCCCATCAGCACCTGCAATCCTTTTATCATGGCAATAACCTGCAGCCCAAAACAGATGAACCAATTTTAACTTTGTTCGATCGGCTTTTCACACTCAAAAAACTAAGGTGTTCTTTTTAACTGCGTAGAAATAGTCAAGCACTGGAAGACTTTAATGTTCTTCAATCACTGACAGCAATCAAATATTATGCTCCAATTTTAAATGAGTCAAAGTCAAATGTTTTCAAAACTTATATATTCTTCCATTGAATTCACCTTGACAAAAACTGCTATCTTCCTGATCAAGGTATTTAACCAAACTAAACTCAGTTCATTCATTGCTAACATCATTCAATAATCTCAAGATTACTAAAAACTTGTCCATCAAGATTCTCAAGGTAATGTAGCCTTTCCTCAAGTGGGTCGATTTTTCCCATAATTAAGCTGCAACTTCAGCTGTGGTTAATAGTTTTGCAAAGCCAGTTATATAACAGTTTTTAAATTGCATTAAGACAGCTGTAATTGAAGTGCAACATGATCACCTTTTTAATTTGTCGTAGGAAGAACAGAATTAAGTGTTGTGTTCCGAGGTGATGGTAATACTGGACAAGTCAGATCCCAGTGGGAAACCTGGCTTGATAGATCATACATTTAATTCTTTCATTAATCAGCTACAGTCATAGAGTCTTAGAGCACAGAAACAGACCCATTGGTCCAACCAGTCCACGCCAACCATGTTCCCAAATTAAACTAGCCCCACCTGCCTGCACTTGGCCCATACCCCTCCATACCTTTCCAATCCATAAACTTATCCAAATTCCTTTTCAATGTTGTAAATGTACCTGCATCCACTACTTTCTCTGGCAGTTCATTCCACACATGAACCACCCTCTGTGAAAAAATTTGCCCCTCATATCTTTTTTTAAAATCTTTCTCCTCTAATCTTAAAAATATACCCCCTAATTTTGAACTCCCCCACCCCACGGCAAAGACCTTTGTCACATGATGACTAGTCACCAAAACATATTCGCAGGAGACTGCAGATTTTCTTGAACAAAACACAAGTTCACTGTACAAAGAACGGAAAACAGGAACTATAGATATAAAAGGCAGTTTGGAAAGATCTTAACACAAACAGGAAAACCAAGTTTCAATCTATTTCCCAAGACAGACTATTAGAGATCGATTTGAGAGAAATGTCACTCTTATCTCAGCTTTTAAATCTTTACCAAACTGAGGCTCTTCAGTTTCTTTTTCTTGAACTGTAGAGACAATTTTTACAATTTCTTTCAGTCTGATAGCAAAAACCTTTAAGAATTCTGAAAGCCTAAGCTTTTTTCAGTTTTCACAACTTGAAGCTTTAAGCCACTTCTCCTGGCTTAGAAGCTTCAAGGACTAGAAACACCATTGCTGCAGTAACCATTTCCCCTGAACTGAAAAATCTTGCTAAGACAAAATTTTTTCCCCTTTGAACTAAATAGTGGTTTTCTTTTGAATTGAAGTCAAGACAAAACTAATGGCTTAGTTCCGTTTACATTGCCTATCATAAACTCAAAAGGTGCAACTGTTTTATTCCATTTACAACATGGGGATCTGTCACAAATTAAACTATAATCATACGTTTTTTTAGAGTTGATACATTATGGTTACTTCCAGAATACCTTTCTGACCTTTGATTAAAAGTAAACTTTACAGCATTAACCCACATCTAACAGCACTTGCTTTTTTCCCCAAAGCGAGCAAATTCCAAATATGATAATATTACACAATTTTCATCACAAATGGTTCTTACTTAATATCACTTTCAATAATGTAACTCATCTTTGTGCTCCTCTTTTGTACTTGTCCAATGAATTGAGAGAAAATTTATAAAATTTGAGATTTTGGGGATATCAGATTACTGGGAGAAAAAAGTATTGAGAGAAATCCAGCTCTTTCTTGTTCTTTTCTTTGGTTGAGCTTTAAATGTTTCTTCTATAGAAGTGTCTGCCTGTATACTAGCATTTTTTTTGATTATTATCACGCATGTGTTTTCTGTTTTTACAAAATTTTAGATGGTTGAAAATGTTGGGTATTTACTCAATGCAGAAGAGACTAACCTTCCTGACCTCAAGTCTGATTCAATATCAGGCAATGGAAGATGACGACGGGGTAAATAATGGAAAACTGCTCAAATTTTGTTAGCTTACCAGTTGACCAACAAAGTCTCATTTTTTTTAAATGTCCTCCAACAGAGGGACACAGCAAGCTTGCAAGTTCCTGCTTCAATAACGTTTCTAACTTAAAATCTTTCGATCTGCCTTATCTTCAAAGTACCCATTTAAACCAAAAGGTAGGCCCTGAAAAATCAGAAGGTCGCCTTCAATAAAATCTCAAAAAGTAATTGAATAGAAGGATGGGGGGGTGGAATCTAATTGAGACTTACAGAATACTGAAAGGCCTAGATAGAGTGCACGTTGGGAAGATGTTTCCACTGGCAGGAGAGACTAGAACCCAAGGGCACAGACATACAGTGAAGGGAAGATCCTTTAGAATGGACATGAGGAGAAACTTCTTCGGCCAGAGAATGGTGAATCTTTGGAATTCATTGCCACAGAAGGCATGGGAGGCAAGTCATTGAGTATATTTAAGACAGAGATAGACATGTTTACGATTGTTAAGGGGATCAAAGATTATGGGGAGAAGGCAAGCGAATGGGGTTGAGAAACTTATCAGTCATGATTGAATGGCGGAGCAGACTCGATAAGCCAAATGGCCTAATTTCTGCTCCTTTGTCTTATGGTCTAGAAAATTGGGCCCTGTTCATACCTATTTTTTTTTTCATGCTTTAGTCTGGGAATAAGAAAAGCTTGAATGAAGAAACTACCAGGAAGTTTTTCACAATTAAGCGACTACTCAACCACAGGGATTTTACATATTCTAAGCATACTGGCACTGACCCTGTTACATCTTAAATGCTAGATTTTATTGATGAAAGAGAGTTTTCAAAACAAATAGGTTAAAAATGTGAAGCATCTCACCTCAACAAGTGCAAACTTCTCTTCACTTGTGTAATTGTATCTAGTTGCTCTCTCATATTCTTCTGCATTATCTGGACAGTCTTTATTAGAGTACTTATCAGTGGGATGCACAAGTTTCCAAGAGTACTGTAAAATTATAATTTAATATGAGACAAAGAACAGACTGAAAGCCAATTGTTTTAACTTTAGATAAAGAAAAGCACAGATGCTGACAATCTGAAATAAAAACAGAAAATGATGAAGTTACTCAGCAGTCAGGCAGCATCTTTGGAAAAAGTTAACATTTGAGGTAAAGGAAATTTCATTCTGTTCTTCCAGGAATGTTAAGGTGTGATATATTGGGTGTTAACTTCATGTTGCTCACTGAACAAGGTCATACAACTTCAAGTCTTCTAATTCTCAACAGCCTCAAAGTCTCTTTCCATAGATTTGATTGATGACAATATCAGAATCTGTGCCATACAAAGTTGCAATCTTATGCAAACCTTGATCAAAAATTAAGTATAGGAAAACATACACTGGTAACAGACAGGAAGAACTCTTGGAAGTAGCCACACTGAAAGCAGCTTTCTGGATGCAACATGGAAGGATAGGAAGTAACAAAAAAGTTGGCACAAAGAATATGTAACTTTATTTCTTCACTTTCTGGAATACTTTCCAATATCCTGGGAGGAATCTAAGGAATCAAAATCACGAAGGAATTTATTTAACATTCCAATTGAAGTCAAAGTCCCAAGGTGAATTACCAACCTATCATTACTATCATGCCATTCCTCATTCCATTATTTGGAGTACCCCCTCGGAAACAGAATGTATTAATGAGTCAAACAGATGAAATCAAAAAAGTAAAAGTAAACAAACACCCAGGAAAAAAAAACTGAATGACAATATTTTCTAACTATTTTGTAAAAATTACAAGAACATCACCAGCCTGTGTTTTTCCATCTTTGTCAGTATCCATTTGTCATGACTATATTGGGGTCTCATCCATACAACAAAACATCCAATAACATTATCTTCTAGGAGGAATATCTAATTGGCTGCCCCATGTTAGCCAACCTATTAAGGATGGCCAAGATGTTCCCAATGCTACAAGTCAAGGGAACAGCTACTCTGGCTTCTTGTCCCTAAAGAGGTGAACATTGCTGAGTGAGGCAAAAGATGCCTCAACATGGAGACCTTTGCTCTTTCATAAAAGATGAAGAGGCCCTTGCTCTTTCATAAAAGAAGGGCTGTACTGAGGAGTGCTCAAAGCAATACGAATATTGGAATGATGGGGAAGTACTTCACACCTCAAGCCTGTTCACTTGCAGATTGTTGCATCCCACCCTCATGACCCTGTTCACTGATGCAAGAAATGCTAGATCCAATGGCCTCAATTTGCCACAGGAAAGTCAGCTCAACCGGACAGCATCCTTCAATAGCAGGTGACTGCTCGGACATTAGGGCCATTTTGCAGCAGCGCTGAAGTCAGGTCATAATTAAACAAATTGGTTCATGCCTCCATGAAACAGCAGTCAATCTAGTTCCCAGCCTGTGGCCATAGTGTATCCGAGAGGTCTCTTAATGTGTTCCACTGAAAATTCCCTTGCTACTATCTGCAAGCCACCAAACCAGTATGCACCGGGGTCAAAAAATTCCAGCCCAAAAATAATTAGTTTTTATTTGTAAAGACACGAGAACTAAATCAGCACCACTGATGTAGAATTGAAGTAAGATGAATTAAAGAAAACTAAAGTTTACTGTGAACATTTTTGGGGAACGGAAAGATATAAGGATAGAGTTACTGAGACCATCAAAGAGACCCAATGAAATACACTCTCTACCTTTTTTTTAAAAATATTGCAGTATTAACTCATATTTGGTTAAATTAAGAAATGTGCTTCAATTTTTCAGTAATGGCGACACATCCTTTTAACAGAGTTCAATCCTGCAGCAGTTACACGCTTCAATATGAAATAATTATCTAGTTAATGAGGAGATATAATTAAAGACAGGTTATTAATTAATTTCTTAATTCCAAGAAAGCATTTGTGTAAATATTATCATTTTAATTGACATTTATATTAAAGAAGAGAAGAATTAATCAATGCTGAATGGTACAGATTCAAAAATATATTCAAATTTAAAAATTCCACTGAGTAGAATAGCAAGAACATAAGAACATAAGAACTAGGAGCAGGAGCAGGCCGTCCGGCCCTTCGAGCCCGCTCCGCCATTCAATAAGATCATGGCTGATCTTTTCGTGGACTCAGATCCACTTACCCGCGTTCTCACCGTATCCCTTA